TTGGTCCTACTGTATTTTTACTGCATACCACAGCCTGGGAGAGGAGATTTCCCTTTACATATTCATTAAAACACACCGTTTCCCTGAATGTAAATCTCAAATTACCGCTTCATCGATTCTGCCAGTTACTGCAGCTGAAATAATAATAATAATAGTAGTGAAAATCAATAAACTCACAGCCGGCTGAAACTTTGCAATTTACTATAACCAAAGGTCAGGGGGGTCGACGTTGTTGTTTGGTATCATACTCCATTGTGAGAGCCATAACAACAGTTGAGCCGCGTGTCCACTCTTCGTAATTGAGAGCTGAGGCTCTCAATGAGGCAGCGGGGACGAACACTGTGGGCGGAGTGAAGGGGGGAGAGTAGAGAGCGCTCATTCATCCATGTCGCTCACGCGCCACATGACGAGTACACTTGTGACTTGGAGTCACAAACGAGCAGGCCCTTCTGTTGGAGCGCAGCTTGACACTGTTGCTGCCGGCTTCAGAGTGGAGTCAGCAGTAGAACCGACAACTGTGGTAACGATTAGTCAGCCTGTTTGGAAGTTGACATTTCCTACATCAAGGCCAGCATTTTACAGGACTTATTACATGTGAACAAATGGTTGACATTTCATCTAAAATAAGGATGGAAAAAAATGATTTTAAATCTGTATGAATAAAAGTGTAAAGAAAATAAAATCACTTTTTTAAAATTGATTTCTAAAGCTCAAGAAAGGGCTAGATTGATTGATCGAGGATAAAGTCAGCACATTTATGAAACACACGGAACACAATAGTGGTTTTTACGTCTCTGATTATGTTAGACTACAGTGGTTAGCATCCAGAATTCTATTAAATCCTTTCATAATCACTGTCATTTGGTTTTGTGGAAGAACAACACATCTGCTCCTGCGGGGGTGCTGCGTACAGCTGAAGCAAATCTCAGGGAATCCAGAGAGAGCAATTGCTCTTTTGGATGTCGGTACAACTGTTTTCTAATTACTATTGGCAAGTACTGCTGATTTGTCCCTGCAACAAAAACAAAATATCCGCAGAGCCTTTCTGTCGAGAGGCCGATGGGCATTTGATGCTCATGTGAGGAGCGCGTCTCTTTAAAGTATGGAAATGATCTTCTACTTCAACGTGTGTTCCCTTTAAAAATGAGTCTTTTATATTATAAATAGTAATGACTTCTCATCTTTATGAAATTCTAAATAAAAGTTGCATTTACTATTTTGGCATTTTTATCATTAGCAGGTTCACCTTTTTTCTTATGCTCATATATCCCTGTGCATATATTTGGTTATTTAAAGTGTCCACTTAAACTAATCCTGCAAGTATCTGGTGAAATACCACAACACAGAAAAACAAAACAATACCTCAGCTAATACTACTATTTGTACTTGGAGACTATATAATTGCAGTGCACTTCACCTGTCATTTAAACCAGTCACGTGACCGTCACGGGTTTAATTTATAAGCACCAGGGCTTTGTTGGCATAACATTCACCCTTCACTTTGGCTTTGAGAGGAGGGCTCTGACGTCACTTTTTTTTTTATTATTTTTTTTTTTACTCACACCTCTAACAGACGCACAACTCATGGTGCGGAATATTAATATCCCCCCCCTCAGTGTCCACTGTCTTTCATGCAGCTATTGTATGCAAATCACAGGGCGGACGCTGACAATAAGCTCCGGTCTAGACACTGCCACTACTGCTGCTGCTGCTGCTCCTCACCCGCACATCTAACATCCCCATCAGGGAGAGAGAGAGAGAGACACAGGGGGAGTGCGGAGATAGTGACGGGAAAGAGAGAGAGAGAGAGAGAGAGAGAGAGGAAGAAAGAGAGAGCGAGAGAGGGGACGGCAGAACGTACAGGGTCTGGATGAATAACCATGGCAACAACAGCAGCAGCAGCAGCATCAGGAGGAGCGCCGATATAAACATTGCAAAGCACGCATCCGTCCGCATACAGCGGTCCAGACAGTGGACTGTGGACTGTGGACCGCCGCACTTCATCACTGCTAAGGTGAGCCTGCGTTTGGACACCAGCCGCCTCTCACAGCAGGGTGGCTGTTGTCTGTGAGTCTGCATGGGGAGGGGGGGGCATTAGAGGGTTAATCATTAGGACTCATAAGAAGCTGCTGCTGCTATTGCTGCTGCTGCTGCTGGGGACAGTGACAATGTCAGGCTTGACTTAATGGGAATCTATAGCTCATATTGTATGTGTATGTATGCTTCGTCTGTATCTCTGCGGGTGCCACTGTATGAGCTGGTGTTAAATCTGCTGCATAAATTAGCCATGTGTCCTTTGTAATGGGGACATAAGGACAACCAAGGCCGGGAAGAAATATTATCACCGAAACACGGGGCTACCCAGTGAAACAAGGTGTCTGGAAGGGGTTCATGCAGCCTGGCTTATTAGTCATTGCTGCTCGGAGTACACTGTGTGCCAAATGTATTCATTCCGTCCCCTAGAGTATGGTCAGAAATAACAAAAGCAGATATTTTCACTACAATGACACAATGCGGGTATGTTTTTTTACACAACGCCAGAATGGAAAAATCATTAAAAAAAAAACCAGACAAGGCAAGGTTCACATATGTAACAGCTAAGATGTTGGGAGAAACTTGTGACTTTCATTAAAGCAGAAAGCTTGCGGCGACGACTTGGCAGTCAACTTGGAGTAATTGAATAAAACGTCCAAGTCGGTACCTTTAAAAAAAAAGAAGGCCCTTTCAAGAACTCTTTTCACTTCCAGACAGACATGCTAGTGTTGATTATCAATTAAGAAGTACTACAAGCGCAGTAGTATCTATTCTGGTTCTCATCTGCTGCTTGCATATTCAAAACCTAATCTTTCCACTGTTATTTTTAGCCGTGCTGCTGCTGAAAGGCTTGAATCAGTAGAGAACACAATCACAGAACTCACCGACATTGTAATTCCAAACACTTGCAGCCTGATTCAGCATCATTGATAGTTTTAGCAAACCCTGGATTACAACAACGTCACACGACTGCTACCGTGATGTC